ACTCCATCGAGATTGACTGGAGGTACGTTGTTCCCTGGTGATATGTTGTCATTCTCTCCATGGTGGTTGGAATCATTGTCAACGTGAAGGGGTGCCGATTTTGAGTTCGAACTTTTCGTCCTGGAATCAAAAACACTCCAAAGAACAAGTGTAACATAGTGTGTGTTATGAAAGTTTGCACCAAATAATCACTATTATCCTTAGCCCCACGGTGGGCACCAAACTGTTTACCCTAAAAAACGGATAACAATTGAATTTATACACGGATTTAAGGATGCGTGATATAACTTGGCACAAATTAAGAAGACAGATTAATATTGAAATTGACAATACAAGAATAAATGCAAACCACGCGTATCGAATTGCCTTGGCCCTCGAGTTTGACCACCTTCAAACCAAAGATGTTTCAACTGAAGTATGAACAGGCTAATAGAGTAACAAGATAATAAATGCTAGAATGTGTCAGTATATTGCTTTATGTTGCGTTGATATGATGTATATTACAAATGATCAGACCCCCCTTTATATAGTAGGGGTATCGTACTCTTGGTACAATTCTATACATGGTAAGAAATCTTATGATTTGCTAATTACTCGGCCTCTCCTTGATATGTGCCGAAATTTCCGTCGTGATCGTCGATCGATCACGGATATTTTGGTTGTTCGTTATTTGGCTCAGTAAGTTTCCCTCGATCTTACTCGGTTTCGATCTTGCTTGGTCTCGATCTTGCTCGATATCGATCTTGATCTGTCTTTGGGTCACGAGCTCGATGATATAATTTTGCATCATGGTTCGATATAATACGAGGTCGAACCTTAACCTATCATATTCCAGTCTCGATTAATCACACAAGGGGCGAGCCCGGTTTTGACCGTATACAAATATAGATCACAACAATGAATGCAAAATGCTCAACAAGGAAGATGTTCCAACAATAACAATTTTGCCTCAACGTGATAACGGATTTCACTACTTCAACACCAATAACTCAACAATGAGAGACAATGTATAACAATGATATTAAATAAGAATAACTCACAATGAAAGAGATATTGTGTAACAATGACTTCAAATAATGGAAATCAAAAAGGAAAGGGGTAACATGAACAATAACTCAAAGTAATGATAATCAATAATGAAAGAGATAACACGAACAAAAACTTCAAATAATGATAATCAACAATGAAAGAGATAACACGTAACATTAATAGATGCAACAAGTTCAACTAAAGCATGAGAGCAATTTATCAATTAGAATGTAGAACAAGTGTTAACGAAATCTTTTAAGACATGTAAGGATAGACTAAAACAAGTAAGAATAGATTGACTATGATAATTTAGAACATGATACTACAATTCAACTAAAGCATGGAAAAAGTCTAAGTAGCCTAAACCGGTCAAACACCACGTACAACCCGTGTACCCACTTGTCACCTTGTGTACACGGCTTTCACATAGCACAATTGAATCAATCAATACCAATCCTAAGGGGTAGTTCCCCCACACAAACTTAGGCAAGACACTTACCTCAAAAAGGCCAATTCAACACTCGAAAATAGTTTTTCCCTTAAAATTCGCCACCACACGGCTCAAATCTAACCAAAATTGATGTAATATCATCAAACAATGCTACGGAAATCTATTACAATAGATAAAGCTAAGATCTTTAAACTTTTTCCAAAAAGTCAACAAAAGTCAACCCAGGGCTTGCCCGGTCAAAGCCCGGGTTCAATGGTAGATTACGACTACACATGACCCCACGAGTTCATATACGAAATTAGTTTCAAAATCCGAGTCCAAATCAACTCTCAAAACTCAATTTCTTGTTTTTAAAAAATATGACAAAGTTTCACAAATTTTCACTTTGATTCACATGATTTTGATGTTAAAATCAAAGATATGTTGATGGAATATGATTAGAAATAGATTAGAATCACTTTCCCAAAGTTTGTAGGTGAAAATCCCCTCACCAAATCGCCTCCTACCGAGTCTAGGGTTCAAAAATGTGAGAATGTGAGAATGAGAGATGAAATCCCGACTTCAAGCCTTTTTGATCAGCTGCAGATATCGCAATTGCGAAATGGGTTCGCAATTGCGAACCCTCGCAAGTGTGAAGTATTTCTCGCAAATGTGGCCACTGTCAGTCCTATAAGGAGGTTGCAATTGCGACTCTGGCTTCGCATTTGCGAAGCCTGTCTCCATTGCGAATACGACTGTTTTGTTGCAAATGCGAACTACCCTCTACCTGAAGCTACTTCGCAATTGTGAGCAAGGTATCACAATTGCAATACCTATAGCCCCCTGCTAAGCTCACAATTGCGAATCTGGTGTTCGCAAATGCGACACTAGAGGCTGCTGCACACTAGATTTTCTAGTTTTCAATCCAAAACACTCTGATAAAAACATCAACACAAGTATAAAAATATCGGACGAACTCGCTCGCGCGATCAAGACACAAAAATAACATCTAAAACTACGAATCGAACACTAAAATACACGAATTTCAAAGTAAAGTTCAGGAATTTTTAAAGTTACAACTAAATGTCCGAATCCTATAAAATCAACTTCAAACGACACCAAATTTTGCAGACAAGTTCTAAATACCAAAACGAACCTATTCCAAGTCCCAAAATCAAATTGAACCTCCACTCTTCTAAAAGTAAACATAAGGTCAAACATTTTAACTTCAAATTGCCAAATTTTGGCAAATCAACTTACGGACTTCCAAACTCAATTTCGGACATATGCCCAAGTCTGAAATCACGATACAAAGCTATCGAGGTCATCAAAACATAGTTTTGGGGTCGTTTTCACAAAAGTCAAAGTTTGGTCAACATTTCTAATTTAAACTTCTATGTCAAGAATAATAGGGTCCAAATCAATCTGAAAGCTTCCCGGAACAAAAATAACCAACCCCACAAGTCATAAAACAATAAACACACATATGTGAACCATAAAATGGGGTAACAGGGCATAATTATACAAAATGACCGATCGGATCGTTACATTCTCCCCCTCTTAAGACAAACATTCGTCCTCGAACGTGCATAAGGACATACTTGAAGTGGTGAATAGATGAGGATAACGACTCTGCATGTCGTGCTCGGTCTCCCAGGTCTCCTCATCGACATCATGACCCCTTCATTGAACCTTCACTGAAGTAATGTTCTTTGATCTCAACTTACAGACCTTCCAGTCTAAGATAGCCACGGGCTTCTTAATATAAGTCAAATCCTAGTCCAATTGGACTGTGCTAAAGTTTAGATTATGAGACGAATCACCATAATATTTCCGAAGCATAGAGACATGGAACACCGGATGAACTGCAAATAATCTAGGTGGCAAAGCAAGCTTGTAGGCCACTTCCCCAATCCTCTCAAGGATCTTAAAATGTCCGATATACCTAGGGCTTAACTTGACCTTCTTCCCGAACCTCATTACACCCTTCATGGGTGAAACCGGAGCAAGACTCTCTCTCCAACCATGAATGCAACCTCATGAACCTTCCGATCCGCATAACTCTTATGTCTAGATTGGGTTGTACGAAGATGATCCTGGATCATCTTGACCTTTTCCAAGGCATCACAAACCAAATTTGTGCCTAATAACTTAGCCTCACCCAGCTCAAACCATCCAACTAGAGAACGACAATGTCTCCCATATTGAGCCTCATAAAGAGCCATCTGAATGCTCAATTCGTAGTTGTTGCTATAGGCAAACTTCGCAAGCGGCAAGAACTGATCCTAAGAGCCCCCTAAATCCATAACGTAGGCACGAAGCATATCCTCAAATATCTGAATAGTGTGCTCGGATTGTCCGTCCATCATGGGGTGAAATGTTGTACTCAACTCAACCCGTGTGCCTAGCTCTGCTACCTTCATCTTCTTGACATGAGCGATCTTGAGTGGCCAACATCCGCCCCATACAATATTATTGGTATGACCACCACTCTGTAGAACTTACCTTTAAGTATCGGTGGCACCTTCTTGTCACACAAAACACCGAAAGGAGGTCTCCATTTCATCCATCCCGCCCAACACGATGTGTGACATCTTCATCAATCTCCCTATCCCCCTGAATAATAGACTCAAGGTACTTAAAACATCCTCTTCTAGGGATGACCCGCGAGTCCAGCCTCACCTCCCCTTCCCTCCCTGAGTCTCACCACTGAACTTACACTCCAACTATTTTGTCTTGGTCCTGCTCAACTTTAGACTCCAGGGTCTGACTCCATACCTCTAACTGCGCGTTCACACTGCCTCACATCTTGTCAATCAATACAATATCATCTACAAATAGCATGCACCACGGCACCTCCCCTTGGATGTGGTGCGTACGTCCATAGCTAGGGCAAACAAAAAAGGGCTGAGTGCCGACCCATGATGCAACCCCATCATGACTAGAAAATGATCTGAGTCCCCACCCACCGTTCTTACTTGGGTCTTTGCTCTAGCATACATGTCCTTAATCACCCTAAATAGGCAACAGGTACACCTCTAGCCTCCAAACATCTCCACAAAACCTCCCTCGAGAATTTATCGTACGCCTTTTCTAAGTCGATAAATAAGTCCTTCTTTCTCTTCCTATACTGCTCCATCAATCTCCTAACAAGGAGGATGGCTTCTGTAGTTGAATGCCCGGCATAAACCCGAACTGGTTCTTGGAAATAGGCACACTCCTTCTCATCCTTAGCTCTACCACTCTCTCCCAGACTTTCATAGTATTGTTAAGCAGCTTGATACCCTGATAGTTATTGTAATTTTGGATATCACCCTTGTTCCTATATACAGGAACCATCAATATGCACCTCCACTCTTCGAGCATCTTCTTTCTTCAAAAAATGACATTAAATAACCTGGTGAGCCACTCCAAGCCCGCCTTGCCCACACTCTTCCAAAACACCACCAGGATTTCATTCGGCCCGGTTGCTTTGCCCCTCCTCATCTTACGCATAGCCCCCTCAACCTCATCAACTCTAATCCGCCTACAATAGCCAAAGTCACAAGACTCCAGGAGATTCCAAATCATCTAGTACAATTTTCCTGTCCCCCTCCTTGTTCAAGAGACTATGGAAGTAAGGCTGCCATCTCCGACGGATAAGTCCCTCATCTAACAAAACACTACCTTCTTCGTACTTGATGCACTTCACCTGGTCCAAGTCACGAGCCTTCCTTTCTCGCTCCTTGGCTAACCTGAACGACCTCTTATCCCCATCTCGACCCTCGAGTTCCTCATACAAATGACTCAAAATTGCATTCTTGGCCACCATAAGTGCTAACTTCACCTCCATCCTAGCCAGCTTATACTGCTCCCTATTCGCCCTCTTCTCCTCTTCGTCTACACTTCCCACTAGCTTCAGATACGCCGCTTTCATGGTTTCAAGTTTTCCTTGCACCTCTCCATTCCACCACCAATCTCCCTTGTGACCACCAGAGTAACCCTTTGAGACCCCTAATACCTCTCGCGCAGCTTCCCTAATGCATTGTGCAGGCGTGGTCCACATAGCGCCTGTGTCCCCACTACTCCTCCAACCCCTTTTGGTCGGCAACTTGACACCCAACTCCTGCACTTTAGCTTTCGTCAAGGCTCCCCACTTGATCCTATGTTGGCTATACATCGCCTTCTTCCTCCTCTTTCTCGTGATCTCAAGGTCCATGACCAGAAGCCTATGAAGGGTCTAGAGGTTCTCACTCGGGATGACCTTGCAATCCATACAATGAACTCTATCGGACTTCCTACATACTAGATAATCAATCTGAGTCTCGTTAACCGAACTCCAGAAGGTAACAAAATGCTCCATCTTCTTCGGTAACGCGATTTATTGGGAAAGAGGAAACTTTTATGTTTATATATTATTATAATTAGTCAGACATAAAAAAATCTGGCGGGTTTAGGAAAATATCTGGGTGAGAGTGAGGAGGGAATTACTAATGTAAGGTTTCGCAATTGCGATTCCTTCTTCGAAATTGTGAGAGTTAAAAATTGTGAGCCCAAGGTCGCAAATGTGACATCCGCACCAGAACAAATGGGTTGGGCGGTCGGGATTTGATCTCATTTCTCTCAGTTTAGAACCCTAGACTCGGTAGGAGGCGATTTGGAGAGGGAATTTTCACCTACAATTATTGGGTAAGTAATTTTGATCTATTTTCAATTATATTACATGTTTGTATATGAGACTTAACATCAAATTCATCAATATCAAAGAGAAATTTTGTCTATGTTTTGAAAAATAAAATTTGGGATTTGAGAATCGAATTGAACTCGGATTTAAAAACTAAACACATATATGCACTCATGGGATTATGGGTAGTCGTGATCTACCCTTGGACTCGGGTTTTGACCGGGCGAGCCCGGCGTTGACTTTTGTTTACTTTTGGGGAATTTTGTAAACATCATAGCTCTATAAATCATAATTGATTTATCCTACATTGTTTGATGATCTTAAGTCATTTTGATTATATTTGAGTCGTGTGAAGGAGAATTTTAAAGGAAATGATATTTTTGAGTGTTGATTTGACCTAGTTGAGGTATATAACTTGCCTAACTTTGTGTGGTAGAACTACCCCTTAGGATTTGGATTGAGTGTACTATTTGAATTATGTGGAAGGTGTGTGCATGAGGTGACGAGTGTGTACACGAAGGTTAGCACCTAATTGAAGTTATTATTATTTGTTCTATCTTTCGATGCAAGTTTATTCTTACATGCCTTAATTGAAGTTGTTATTACATGTTCTAGTTTTCATTGTCAAAGTTGCTCTTATATGCATTTATTTGTAGTTGTTGTTACATGCTATCCTTCCCATTGCTGAGTTATTTCCATGCATTTAGGCGTTTTCATTGTTAAACTTATGATATGCACTTGAATTGGAGGCTACCATTCCATGGGAATACCTTCATTAATAGTTATTGAAGTTGTAGTTGTGAAAACTATTAACACATTGAGGTTGAAGTTGGTGATTATTGAGATATCTTTCCTTGCTGAGTTGTTTCTCATTCATTTTGTTCTCATTGAAATTCTTGTACACATTGTGGTTGAGCCATAGGCTATGTGTTGTGGTAACATTGGTAATGTTGATGTTAGCAATGTTGTGGCATATGAGCACGTGGTGCGAGTTTATTATTGTGTTGTGATATTGATTCGCATGCGGCGGTATAAGGATAGGGGTTGATGTTCATGCGGCGAGAAAATGTGGGATTTATAAGTGTGTTGCTAGTAAGGGAATAACTTGAAGACACACTATGAGATAAGGGGGATACAGCGCTTGTAGCTATTTCGGAAAAAAATATTTTTAAAATTTTAAATGCAGGGCTTACGCGGCGATATAAGAAAGATTGTGATCGTAAATTGTGAAATGTGAATATGAGGTGTGGTGCCTCGATTGGGATTCTTGTTTTACATTCTATGTTGAAATATTGATTGAATGGTTATTGTTATTCCTTCATTGTTTTACTTGTATTTTGATTGTATTTGATTACTTGTTGATCTTATCATATGTTTATTATTTGTTGTCCTTTATTGCTTTAATTCTCATTGTTTGCCTTATATCACTGCACTGTTTTGTTGTCATTTATCTCTTCGTTTTTTGTTATTAGATTATATTAATGTTCTGCACAGGTTTTTATGTCTAGTAGATGTCTTGACCTGGCCTCGTCACTATTCTACCGAGGTTATGGTTGATACTTATTGGGTACCATTGTGGGGTACTCATGCTACGTTTATGCATATTTTCTTGTGCAGATCCAGGTACTTCAGCTCATGCTGGATGTCAGTGAGTTGACCCAGATATATCAGAGACTTCAAGGGATACTTGTTTGACGCTCGCAGGGCTCAGAGTCACCTTCTGTTATTTCCTTTACTATTGGATATCTTCTTATCAAACAATATTGTATTCGAGATTCTTAGCATATTTCTTTAGATCTTATGACGCAGTTTCATCGAATCTGGGGATTTTATGATTGTTATTTAGTATTGATGTTTTCCTGAGATTTATCAGTTTAATTTATTACTTCTAGACATTGTTTCTGTTAAATTCTTCTATGTGTTAGGCTTACCTAGTATTAGATACTTGGTGCCATCACGACCAGGGGTGGAGCTAGCCCATCGAGTGCGGGTTAGGCTGAACCTAGTCGCTTTGGTCCATTCCATGTATTTGTCTTAAAAATTCCATTAAATATGTATAAATTATTAATTTAGAATCCAGTAATTTAAAAGGATTAGAACCCCAAACCCATAAGTTTTAAATCCTAGCTTCGCCTCTGATCACGACATCCTAAGGTAGGAATTTGGGGTCGTGACACTATTGTTTGTTCACCTGTTAGAACCATGTTATCTTAATTCTGAAGCCTTAAGCGCTATTCTAATATGTTTGAGCATGCAATATAATGAATTGAATGAACCACATAATGGTCAGCTTCATATAAAATATTAGGATATGGTATATATTTAGGTGTGCCTGCTATGAGTCTATAAATGACCCAACTGAAAACATACAATGATTCTATGTCTATCTCTTTGTTGCTTTCTTTTTTAGATCATGTGTAAAATCACTCCAACATGCTTCAACTAATAGAACTTCTTTAGAAATCATGCCTATAAGACCTATCACTGGTAGTCTAACTTAGACTTTGGGTCAAAAGTATATGATGTTAGGTAGGATGTCTTGTCATGCTGTAGAATTAAGCCAAAGAAACTTTTATGACAAGTTGTGAGGTGTCTTGTCACTACTTATTCTTCCGCAGTTCTATATATATTCAAAATGTCAATGAGTTCTCTTGTCTGTGTGAGTTGTTAAAATAAAAGTACGCCCTCATTTTCTTGATAAAAGTGTAAGTGTTGTATTGGGTAAAATATGTTATGACACGTGGTCATCCGAGAAAGGGATACGTGGAGACCAAGACAGGGAGATGACTGAAGACTGAAGACAACTATTTTGTTTGTCACCGGTAGGAATAATGCTCATAAAGATGTGATAAATGCTCTTCTCCCGGTAGCATTCAATAGAGAATATTCATAGCATTAAGAGCAGTTATCCATTACAAGGAATTTGGCATTTATGTTCACCGTTACATCTTCATAAATGCCCTCATAATTGACATTAAAAAGGGCACGACCCTAGGACTTTCTTCATAGCTATATATAGTGAGCTCAATTGTCATTGTAAGGAGAGGAATTTTCTGGGAAACTTATACTATATTTTATACCAAGCTAAATCCAATTTTATCTTTTGATTTCTCAATGCTTTTGTTGTTGTGTCCAGAAACCTTATTCCCGAAATTGTTGCTTCTGCTGTTTCGTCTATATCTTAAGTCTAAGTCTTGCATAAATCTTCAATTATTTATTTATTTTAGGATCAAATTAATTCACTTATCGAGCAATCACGTATAAATTCAACTGCACCATTTTATGGGTAAACAGTTTGGCACCCACTGTGGGGACTAGAAAGCCGTATAATTAAATTGATCCTTGCCTTTTTTACTAATGTGTTTTGATCATTTTTGTCATAGAAAAAATCATAAGAAATGGCATATAACACTGTTAACGACATGCAGAGCCCCGAGATTCGAGGGGATCAGCCTCATTCTGAGGACTCAATCAGTGATACCCATAACGAAGGGAGTGACGCTACACCAGTGCATGACATGCAGTATCCTCGATATGTTCGAGGGAACACTCTCGATGACGCTGATGAAGAGCATGTCATCGATGCGGTAAGGGTCTTGCAAGAGTAATAAGCAATCATTCTAGGCCACCTCACGCGACAAGATAATGTTATGATGGAGATGAAGCAAGCGTTGTCGGGAGCTTCAAATAATGCAAACAGACGAGATCTGATCCCTCTCGGGATTCCCACGAATCAAACAACATGGAGGATCGACAACAACACTGCCAAGGGTGAAATTGGCTCTGATAGGGTAGGGGGAACAGATCCGGTCTCAAAAATGAGAATGATTCTTTCAAGAATGAACTTTTACGGTTCATGAGGGAAGTAAACGCTTGTATGGACTAGACCCCGGGTGCACCACCAGTGCAAAAAGGCCTAGACTCGAAGAAGTATACTCAATTATCGTACAAGCCAAGTGCGGCACCAGAGTTAATCTCGAAGCGGTTCAAAATGCCTAAAATGCCAAAGTATGATGGAACTTCAGACCCCCAGGAGCATATTACCACCTACACAACAGCTATAAAAGGGATTGATTTAGCTCCTCACTAAATGGAATCTATGCTGCTAAAGAAATTTGGAGAAACCCTCACGAGAGGGGCCTTGACGTGGTATTCGCTGTTACCCGAGCATTCCATATATTCCTTCGAAATGCTTGCGAATTCTTTCATCAAGGCTCATGTCGGGGCAAGAAAAGTACAGGCCAGAAAGGCCT